TGTGTGTGTGTATGTGTGTATTCTAATTTTGCTTTTAATGTTAAAATAATTGCAAAATTTATGTGAATAATACAAAAAACTTTAGCAGTTAAGTAACTGTTCTATTATAAGCTTTCTTTCGAATTGTTTAAACTTCCTTTCGTTTCTTCTCATTAATTTGTTCTTTTTTACATTTTAATTAAGCTTCCTTTTGTTAATTGTTCTTTTTCATATTTTATTGATTGTCTTAATAAAAAATGATGCATCTCTTCAAGAATAATTCTTTTCGATAGCAATTTGTATAATAGAAAAAAAAAACAAATGCAAAGAATATAAAAGTAATGAAGAGATCATTTAGACATTACTTATCTTTGTTGAGAGATATAATCGAGTGAGTAAAGAGCAAAAATTAAGAAATGAAGTTTTGCAGATTTAAATAAGAATGAATATTAACGGGAAAAGCTAAACAAAATGACATATCCGTCGGATCTAATACATTCGCTTATATCATCTAAAAAAGAAGCAGATCTTTTTGATTCGAGAAATTTACAAACTTAGCAAACTTCTTAAATGTAAATTGCATTATTGAATAAAATTAATGGGAAAGAGTGATAGGTGAGAAGCAGTTGGTTGGTTTATTTTAGAAGATACTTTTGAGGAAATGCAGAAGAAATGAGGTGAATTGTTTTAGTTTTGTAAGAGATTGAGGACATCTTAACTTTTTTGTTTCAAAAGCAATTTCAATTATCACTGATTAATCAAAGTAAAAAAAAAAAATTTCTGCATTTGCAAGGAACTATTTTATTTCCAAGCAATCACAAATCTCTCTGAATTGCTATCAGGCAATATTTTTATGGTGCTAATTTTGGATTTTGTTAATCAATGTTCATAATACAATATTACAGTAATAAAATTTCATCGATATCATTCAAACAAATTGATGTTCATCATTTTCGATGATATTGATGGAAGCATAATGCAGATGTTAATGCGCATAAAAGCATGAAATTATATTTGAGTGAAATTAATAGGGTTATGAAAGTTTGGTTTCTCTCGGCATGATAAGAAACTTCATTCCTCAAAGTAAAATTTCAGTATGCAAATAAAAAAAAAAAATGTAACAGTTACTGTCTGTTCTGTTTCAACAAACATGTGTTGTACTGTTTTCATTTATTTATTGTTGATGTCCATGCAATGGTCACAACGTGGCAGAATTGAAATTTGAACGGATGAAGAAGAATATGGATGAAATTATTCAAGCAAGAAAATCGTCGTTGTTTGTTGTTGGAATGAAAAAAAAATTTGCTCAAATGATAAAAAATTGTTGCTATCATCACAACTCTCGCTTGATAGCAGCCAAGAATTGAGATTGAAATGATTGCACAAACTATCGTCATAAAATTTTTTTAAGGAATGATGATATAGGACAAGTAGTTTCTTTTCATATCATTTAGTCCTATATGTGATCATCATATCAGCATTTAATTTAAGCATACTTTATGTTTGCTAACATTTAGCCATGCAATTAAAGTCTTCAAACTGTGCAGTTCCTAAAATAAAAATTTTTAAACTGTCACAATCAATAATCAGTCATATTAATTATAAGTATTTGCAGCAGTTAAAATATCAACAAAAGTTATAGGCCTGAGAAAACAGATATGGTAAGGAAAACAGATGAAGCCAAATCATATCGAACAATTCGGTCAAGCAACAACAAATCCACGTTTAATCGTTCAAACTAGAACTCCTATAATTGTTTCTGGCACTTAAATCTTTCACACATCTAAATAATTCTCATCTAAGGTCTAAACTTTTGAAATTTTATTCTTTTGCATAAATAAAATTTAATTTTGCAAAAAAAAAAAAGATCACAAATGAATGATTTCATCTATCAAAATAATAGACTTATTGGGTGATGCATTGCGAAATAACGATGTGTTGGAGAGCATCCGTATCACTGAGAGAGTTCTCGAATCATCGAGAAACACCAAAGAGACGGTGAATATTTGCGTCAACTTCTTTTTTTTTTTTTTTTAGAAATGGAAAACGTAAATAAATTACATTTGATCTTCTGTTCCCGATGCACAAGAAATGAAATTCAAACACTCCCGTTACTTATTGGGAACTGCTAAGAGATTCCAGAATCGAAAATCTTTGAATCGTTGAAAGGAAAGAAAATAGTAGAGGGAGGATTGTTTTATCTTTTAATTGAAAATGTTCGTTATTATGAAGCAGAAGGATGAGAATGCAATTCTCATTTACTTAGACAGAAGTAATCCTCTCGCTATTACGTTGAAATCAGCGTATGAATGTGTACCAAACATTTGCATGAAATGAAGTAAGAAGTTTTGCATTAAACCTTTTCAAAGTTATGCAAATCTCTTCTCACAACGATAAATCACCGATAGGGCTGGGCAATATACAAATCTCGGTGAGTGTGCAGGTTTCGTTTTCACCTGAGCGGTATGGTCTTAAGATGTACCGGGAGAGTTGTAGAAAGCGAAGATCGGTTAGATTTAAGTGTAGTTTAAATTTATCACTTCGCTCAATCATTAAAAAAATCGCAGCAATTCGACTGGAATAATTAAAGCATCTTAACTGATACGGTTAGCAGTTCATGTTTTTAATGCTGTGTCAGTCGCTTTTGTTTTTAAAATGATATCAAGGCGTTTTGTGAAAACTGTTGTTCCTGACCTAAGATCGGCTTGGAATTTACGAAAGGCCTGAATATAGGACAGTCGAATGTTGCTGGGACATATTGGATATATTAGAAGGTAAATAAGGATAATTTCGGATCTTGCACGCATAATTCTATAGCGGCTTCACGATAATGCAAAAAGATCGACATCGGACTCTTTTCTATTTTTGTTAGCTTTACACCTCTCGTGATTTGAAGTTTTCAGTCCTCACAACCTAATTCAATACTATTATGTTGTGTGGATTGAGAATTCAGCATTAGAAATTCGAGACATTTGATAGCAAGGTTGGTTGGGTATTCTTATGGTTTATTTTTCAATAATATAAGACAAAATTTGCAGTGTCATTTTCTCATTAAGTCAATTGTAGCAAAAATTGAAAGTAACACTGTGGAACGAAACGCCATCAACTCAGATTTAAACTATTTCAAAATATTTCAGGAAAGCTATGTATGAAGCCTTATATTAAATATATCAAAATTTTGCATCCTTCAGCGAATCACTGAAGAAGAGTGCAGCGAATTCACTCTAAATTACGAATGAATTTCATTACTTTTGCTGAGATCATAAAATTTAATACCAATTATATTATATCTTTTGTGGCTTTTTTAGTTACGCAAATCACTAAAAAATATTAGGGACATCTGCGATTGGTTACTCGTTTACGAACATTTTAAATTTACAATGATTGTAAGCAGTGCAATAAGGAGCAAAATACAAAGAAACTCAACATTACCAGACAAAGCTCTGCATTAAGCAAAGTACATAACCTCAGAAAATAGATTTGCAGTCAGAATTTTATTCCTTTAAATAATTTAAAATTGATTTACTCAACAACGAATAACGCTCATTTAAGATTATTAAAAGCGGTCTAAGCTAAGGTGAAAATCGACATAAAGCAACTATGAATGGAAACTAAATGAAATCTATGTCCTAGTTACAAGTAAAAAATACTAGTAAAATTTCAATTCAAATATATAAGATAATAGTTGGAAAAAGATAAGTTCCTGGAATATAAACGCAATCTCTTTTTCTCCCCTTAATTTTTAAAGTTTGGAATCAATAGCCGTATAACATATAATAGGAAGAAAAAAGATGACACATACAAATATATCACAGAATGAACAAGGACCTGACATATAAATGTTGATTTTAAAAGTAATTGTCATTAAAAAACACACCCAGTTTTCGAACTGACATATAAATTAACAATTATACTAAACTAAACCGTATGATAGGAATAAAACGAAGGAAAAAAAAAACAATAAATTTGAGAAAAATATAGGTACCAACAAGTAACAAAGAAGTCAATGTGCAGATGATATATTATAGTGTATTATATGCGAAATATGGCTTTGCAAAAAAAAACAGTAGACTAGGGGAACTGTTTAAAGGTGTAAAAAAGAGAAATTAAGGAAGTCACATTTGAAAAAAAAATTTAGATATTTTGATACAAGAACACTAATTTTATTTTAAAATGATATTTTATCCAGCAGGTATTTTAAGCTGTCGGATGAAAATGTTTTTAAGTACATCTATGTTAAGGAAGTTCCAAATCTGACATCATCAGTGTATCTTTAAACTTCTCTTTTCATACTATCAGCCATGAATATTCAGAAGTCTAAGTGTATGAAAAATATCCAATTCCATCAGAAATAACAACTTTTTAGATCAGATTTCTTTCAAATCAGTATTTAAGACTGATACATATTATTAAACACAACATCGCACTTGAACTGTCACATCTTCGTACATGAGTTTATTTTTTTAAAAAAAGGTCCCTAATATTACTGCAACAATCTCACAAAATAATAGACAGAGGAATCCACTTAAAGTCACGAGTAAAATAAGAAATCGATAGCTAAGAAAAATTCTTTATACAGTCCTATTTCCGATATGTGATATATTCTACAATAGCCATGTATACAAAGACGAATGTAAATAACAACCAAATTTTCATACATAAGTCATTAGTTTCAAAAATGAATCCCAAATTTGGGACTTAACATCCTACCGATACCCATAGTAATACCACGTATTCCTGTCCATTTAGTTGACAATCATTTCACCCCAATGTTTCAGTCTTTTTGATAACCTTTTTTTCGCAAACCATGCAATAAGATCTGGATCCTTCGGGTCGCATTTTCCATTATACCTAAATTTCATCGATCTAAAGAAAGAAAATGGTAAAAAATTAAATAAGAAAAAAGAAATGATTGTTGTTATTATTCATCTTTTTAATAACTGTTTTTATGCTAGGTATTTAATATAGCAAAAAATCTTGCATGGATGTCTTAAGATGTAAGTTCAAGCAATATTAATTGAAGTTTGGACCACTGGCTCTATCGCTCATTATGAACAATAATTAAAGTGACATCAATATCGATGTTGTTAATGATAAATGGCAAAAGACGAAACATAAGTTTTACTTTGTAGGTATGCAGTACGTTTCCTGGAATTCGAGGTAGCGAGTCATTTTATCCCATTCTTCGTTATAATAGTCAGATGAAGGCTGCAGACCAAAATTATGTGCAGAAAGATTTAATTTTTCTGGAGCTGCATAAAAACGTTCCGAATTGTATATGAAAGTTATGATGCCGTAATATGCTGTTCGTGGCATTCCAGACTGCAAAATCTCTAAAATTTGCACGGGAAAAATGACAAAAACTATTTCATTTACCTTTTGCGATGGAACATTTAAACTTTTGAAACCCCTTGAGATTTATTTCAATTAGAATTGAAATAAATCTCAATGAGTTTCAAAACGTAGCTGCGAAATGTAAATCAGACATTTGATTTGTTTTAATTTTTTTGATTCAAGAAAATAGACTTACTCTGATGTCAAGCATCAATCCAATAGATTTTCCGAGGCGCCGATATTCTCGGGGTGTTTTATACGTGATAAAAAAAGGACCGGATCCAGAAAAAGATCCATCCAAAAATTCATCTACTGATAACACAAATGCACGTGACATTTTTTGACTCAATAAACTGAAAAAAAAGTTTACATGATTTTTCGGCTTCCATGCAATACGTATGAAAGAATAAGTTTCAACTTGCAGTGAAAATTAAAAAAAAATTAATCGGGAATCGAATATGTGAAAATTGAAGAAGTGAAAACAAGTACCTGTCGTAGTTATTTTTGATCAAATAGCTTAAATCCAGTTTCGAAAAATCAACTGCTGTTTCAGGCAAACGAATAGAGGCCAGATATTTTTTGTACAATCCACTGTAAACAGTTCTCTATTATATATGAAGAATGACGAAAGAGTTAAAAAAAAGAGAACTTTCTACATCACTACTTACCCACTGGAACCTTTTCCTGCCAGATTATTATTATGAGAGGTTCTTGAAACTTCTGGCCGGATGCAAACTCTCTCTTTGCGTACATCTTGACGTCTCATCCAATCATCCCAGTACATTTCGGGCCACCTGGATGACAATTCATTCCATAATTCTGCTGTAAGCATCCATCCTGAAAAAGAAAATCGACACACATGATAAGATCTCATAAAGCTTCGAAACAAAAAGATTAAAGTGAAGTTGTCAAAAAAAAATGTGAGGATGTAAGTAAATTAGGTTGTGGTAACTCTGATTTGATTAACTAATCAAGTTTCGTTTTATTGGTAGTAGCTATTCTCTTAAGAGTCTTAGTTGTCATTGCTTGCAAACAATCCAATGCTTTGGAACAAGCATCAACAAAACTACATTAAAAACCTTGAATCTTAGAAAACAAATATAAAGTTAATAAGAAATACCTAATCCTGGGAAAAAATCTGTTCTATAAAGTTTCTCTCCATGTTTACGATCAGTAATATTAGCACCTCCATTATCATTCCATGCACTGATACACCAAATCGTTTTATCAGTAAGTAATATTGGTTTTGAAGCCGCAAAATACGAAAAGAAATCATCCGCTAAATCAAGATCATCTGAAAAGATGATCTTGATTTCATTTGTTTTAAAAGAGATGAACTTGATTTCATTTATAGATTTCATTTTCATTTATTTTTGAACAAAGTAGATTTCAAAATTTATGCACAATCAATTTTTTGATACAGTTCTTGAGAAAATATGATGAATTGGGAACCACGAAGATTATTTAAATTACTGAGATACGATTATATGCAAATATAAACTTTTAGGTGTCGCTACATCATTGCTTATGTGGAAATTTCATCAGCAAAAGATAAATACGAAATAATTGTGAATCAGTGAACTTGGTAACCTTCAGTAATGATCGCTATCTCATACTTCATCTCAAAAAATATTTTGTCAAGAGCCCATTTGTAATGATGTGCAATGCGAAAGTAATTTTTAGAACCAGAATCTAAATCACTAGAAGATTCTGCTTGTTCCTTATGCTGAAAGAAAAAATGTTTAGATTTATTGTTGACAATGGTCACTACACCACTATTCAATACAATAAGTTCATAGATCCAAAGCTCTGTTTCGTCACTGACACTCAGAAAATTGCAATTATTATAAGAAAATGGATTTTAAAAAATATGATTGAATTCTGCTGATCATGCTCCAGTTTACAAACAAAAAACTTACATGAATATAGCTAATTTTCTTTTCCCTACTAGTGAAAGATGAAATCGCTTCCATTACCGCCTGATTATCTCCATCTTGACTGATAACAATAGGAAAATGGACGGCAGAAGGTCGTAATCTGCAAGAAGCAAAGTCATTGTTGCTTTCTCTTTTAAACACATTTTTCGATTAAAAGGAATCAGTCGAACAAATAATTATGAACGGACGTTCATATTACATAAATAAATGTTATCAAAATGCATCCAAAAAGCTTTCTTCCCTGATTAATTTAACTCGAAGAGTGTAGCACAAATTATATCAATCTAGATTTATGAAATCAACTATAACTGATTAAAAGAAAATTATTATAAGAAAATCAGATAATAAATTAGCAGCAAAAAATGGTACAGAATGTTTTAACGCATTGAAACTCATAATACAATGCACTATTTCGATTCAATTAGATGTTGAAAATAAAAACGAACTTTATCAATTGATCTAAATGATTTTTAATAGCACGTTCCCTTTTCGCTGCCATAACCAAAACCACCGCGATGGGTTTCCCATTATCATTACCAAATGACTGTGCTACTTCTTGATCGGATAACAAATTCTAAATAATTTCAAATTAAAGAGAAGACTAAGGAGGTTAACTAAAATCATTTTTTCAATCAGTTGAAATCACAGTGCAACCTGTGGAAAAATAGGTATTCAATTCTTATAAATATTTCATAACAGTTTCCATTTCCGCCTAAAAAAGATTAAATTTGGAAGAAAATAAGAATAAGGCTTAACTCAAAATCCAATTGTTCAGTTTGAAATTAGTTACTGTGCTCCCCAGAATCTTACAATCATTCACTTAAAAGCGTTAACTTGAAAAACGATAAGTTGTGGGCATCAGCTAAACTTGCCAATAATTTTTTTAATTTAAAATTCGAAAATATTGCAAGTTATTTTAAGTGTAATAATTTATTATAAATTTAGGTACAACATAAATATATTTTTTTACCGACAATCTTTCCATTGTAACAAAAAGTGCTTACTCAAACAACAACTGATAATAGTCGTGTAAAAATCAAAGACAAACCTTATTCGAAGAACTGAATAAGCCCTGTCGAATAAGAAGAAAAACTGATATGATAAAAAATGCGATAAAACATCGACGTCGTATATAACAGCCTCAAACGAAAGAGAAAAACGTGAGAAAACTAACTGCAATTTTATCAGACGAATAGTAAAAGTGTTGATTGTTTCAAATGTCTGTTCTCTTTTTCTTCCCAGTAACTACACCATATGAGGTATACAAGGATTTAGAGTGCTTTTCACGAATAAACTGTCTTTTAAACCTTATAAAAATTACTAAGTACTACCATAAAATAGACTTATTCGAACACCAGAGAAATTGTCTAATCATTACTGTTTACATTCTGCGCCCAAATAGAATCTCAGAATGATGGTAATATCATGAAGCTCTCTAAAAAATTTATATTTAGAATGTTTGCTATATTTTTGCATATAAATAAACAAATAAATATCTAACTAAGGAATCGGCCCAATTTGACTAATACCACGCACTTCATTGTTCGTCCCTCTACCGCGCCGTTTATCGGTGCTGATAGCATAACTGATATCGTGAACTGCTTTTGATCACTTCTTTCGTTCTACTATATATTACATGAGTTCATCTGTCTTCTTTTTGTACGTGATAATCTGCGTTAAAAAAAAGATTAGATAATTGACAATATCATTTTAATCCCTTCTTCATCCATCAACAGCCGGAATGAATGGAAGAAAGGAGAGAAAGGAAGTGTATAGTCGATTGAAGAAATTGTTCAATGTAATTATTATATTAGTAAAGCACACTTTATATCCAACATAAACAGACATACTTTGACATGGAAATCATTAGGTGGGACAGCGAATGCAGCGGCATATCGGCGTGTGATTCCTATCTTCTGACCACAAACCGAATGAAAAAATAAAAGTTTGCAAGTTCGAATAGAACAATTTCGAGAAATTATAATCAGTCGTAAAAAGAGGAAATTTGCGGGACATTATTTGGCCTACAGTTGAGAGTTTATCAGATTCGAAATGATGTGCATTCTTTATTTATCGCAAAATGAATCATCCATCTTTTCGGTTCGTTTTCATTCAACAAATTACTTCCAAATGAGGAGAAAGGTCAGAGACATCAATGTATGATAGACAAAAAAAGTATCACTGTTGGTGGCAAATGAACTGTTAAGCGCTATCCGTCAGATAATATGAATTTGTGGGAAAAAAAAAGGTCAAACAGTTATTTTTTTTCTACTACAAATGGTAACGTTTTACGTAATCTCTCTCGTTAGCTGTTAATCTGATGAAATGTACCTTCATGACCTCAAATGACCTCAACTAACTAAACGATAATACCACAAATATTATCAACAATATTGTTAAAACCAAAAATGCACATTCCTATAACTGGTCGGACCGTAAAATTGACAAAGTGTAACTTACGTCTCATTAGTGAAGAGAGCTAAGAAGGAGTGAGTAAGATTGGCCTAATATAATGCTTAGGCTTTATTGAACATCCTGGCTGAGTTTCCTATCTTCGATAGAGAGGACATTATTGATAATAATGATCACTGATGCATAAGCTATTCTTTCGTTTTCCTGTAAACTAAACTCCATTTATCTGTAAATTATTCAACGTCATTAGCTTCATACTTTCTCCATAGGGTTACAGAATTTTTGATCCTACCATGGTAGCATTGAAATTCAAACTTTTTTTCCTTTTGTTATACGAACGATCTTAAAATCGATGTTTTATCATTTTATCATTCATAGTTTCAAACATTAAATATACATGATTTTTGAAAGTTCTTAGTATAAAAGAGTGAATCATTCAATGTCTCATATTAGAATGTATCGAAAAGCAAAGAAGAAATGACACGACAGAACAATAACATACTCTTTTGTTTTCATTTTAGTTTACAAAGCTCTATGAATAGATAGCACTGAATGATATGATGATAGAAAAGAAAGGTAATGATAACCAGATTGGGAAATGGCTCCAGAATAGAGAGAGAGAGAGAGAGAGAGAGAGAGAGAGAGAGAGAGAGAGAGAGAGAGAGAAAGAGAAAAAAAAAAGATATAAAAATGTTTTATTAATCGTCCAAATTTTCGAATAGATAGAAACTTGAAATGGGCGAAAAAATAGCTAACATTCTTAAACAACGATAATTTTAATTTCTTAAATATTAAAACGATTTTAATTTTTTTTCTTAAACAACATTAAAAGCGATAATTTTAAACTTCCTACACTTTCACTATCCTTCCTTCTTCACTTAATCCAAAACAGAATTATTATGGTTGAATGTGATAGTATTTGATAATTGTGATAATATGTAAATATGTAATCGGAAATGGTGAGATATAATTTGGAGATTGAACCTCCAATACTCCATCAGCTAGTAGTAGCATATTTTAATGCTAGACCTTCTTGCAGTATCATTTGATCTGTGAATACATCAAGGATAGTCAGATCTAATTTATTCACATTTCTCGTTGAAAATATCTAAAGAGAATTAGCATAAATGTTCACAATTTATTGCCTATTATTTATTATTATTTATGCATTTACAAAATTGTGACTTTCAATCCTTTCGGTGCTTTTCGATGGTTCGAGATATTTCTCCCAGTCATACGGGTATTCCGATACATTGTTGTTTCGGAGTGCATCGCGTAATAAATCTGCTATTTTACTGTATTCTGGTTTTGCATAATATCTAGAAATTATAATTGTTGCATAAAGAAAGTATTAAATGTGTAGAAAAATAATTAGAAATTATGATCATTTATGCGAGAAATTACTTTAACGTGTAATAAACGCCATTTAATCGATGAAGAAGTGTAAACCTAATGGAATCGATAAGTCTCAGAATTGTGATGTATTCTCTCGGACAACCACCAAATAATTCCTTGATGTATTCATCCTTGCGACAAAGTTGTTTACATCGGCCCACTTCATCCTTGTCTTCCATGCTTTTCCACGGCAAATAACCGACCGTTAGCTCCACCAGAAAATTCATCATAATCATGATGAAGAATAAAGATAGAATAACAAGAATTGGAATAAAAGATATGCTAATAGATCAATTGGAAAAGAATCTGAAAAGATGTGATTACTCTAAACAAATAGGACTCAAACTGAACTAATCATATGGTTTATTTGTTGATGAGATTTTTATTGAAAATATCATACGAGAGGAAGGAATGTTAATAGCAATTTTTTATCTATAAAACTATATCATTTTAAATAATAAACTACCACACTGATTTGCAACTGTAACTACGAACTCTTGCAGTTAGTTAATTTAAAATTTCATTATTTCAAGGTAAACAAAATTGCAGCAGATTTCTACGATAGTACAAACTTGTTGATACATCCAACTTTCCAGGTCATCTTTTCTACACTGCTCACGTGATATATGACTGCTTATTGACGCATATCTGGAAACGATAGCTTGAGATTAAATATAAATAAGCTGGAATTAATTACAACACTCGATATGTATTTAAAGAGCGTTAGTCATTACGACCAATTCATCTGTACGTGAAGTAATCAGAATCGATTTCCTTTCAAAGCTAACGAGATTAATGAAATCCTTAAATGATTTCACACTACCTGACAGTGCCACGGAAACCAGCAGATCTTCGTGGATTACGTATGGATAAATGATTGTTCAGATATTTACGACACATACCAAAGTCGAGTAAATAAATTTGTCGTAGGTTTTTACGACCAATTGCAAAGTTACCGGGTTTGATATCACGATGCAAATATCTTAATATCATTTTATTGTAATCTTTTTATTTTTAAGATCGAGAAATTTAGAAGTTTTTGAAATTTTCTATGACAGCTATAACTCACCCAACATTGTGAAGTTCTTCAATTGCTTCCAAGCATTTCATACCTACTGAAAGTGCACAACCCATAGTGAATTTCTGTATTTTCTGTGTTGGATCATGTTTTCTCAAATCCTATAATTTTATTCCTAATTTGTTCTCAAATTTTATTGAAATTCTCTTATTACTTTATTTAAAAATTTTTTTAGATGAAAATTTATTTAATAAGTGAACGAAATGAAATTACCGTAAGAGACTGTCCAACCAATGTCATCACCACATATTTATTTTCGCCAACCAAACCACTATCCAAAATATCACAAAAATGTGTCGCTTTTGCTTTTTTCAGTTCTGTCAAAACGTAATATTCCGCTTTCAACACCTGTATTTCATATATTGAGCACTACTATGACATCTCTCATTAACAGTAGCAGCCAAATTTGGTAATAAAAACTTAGCTAGCATTATTGGTAGAAAGTTCAAATATGCAATATAACCACTAGACTTGTTGAGGGAAAAAAAAATCAAACTTCTTTGGAAATTATCATTTTTAGTACGGTACTAAAAATTAATTTAAGATGTCAATTGTCTAGAAAAATGATGCAATGCACGTCTACTTTAGCGATCGCATTAACACTTTCAGTCTTCATAGCGTATTCATTTCCTTTGCTGTCCTTTACCTGTAACCTCTTAATTTTATCAATTATATTCGATGAGATTTCAAAAATCTCTCCTGATTGTTATAAATATTTTCATAGCTATCACTTAAAGATAAATGTATAGATTAGTTGTCATCATAAAAACGAGTGATATATAATTTTACCAAATAAACAGCGCCAAATCCACCTTCTCCAATTTTATCCAAAACAGTCCACTCACCAAGAACATCACCGGGATGTAAATAAATTATTTTCATCGCATCTAAAATTGTATTTTAAACTCTGAGAATTTCATATTGAAACTGTTCATGATTCCAATAGTAGAATTACATGATATCGTAGTACAATATAGCTAATTAAACCTTCTTCTGAATTAGGATTAACTTCCACCATCGTGCACTCCGTGGAGTGTATAGTTGTATAAAATAACTTTCACTAAGAAGTACACAGAATTTATAGCTCAAAATTTGAATTTTCACAAATTAATAACCTTCTCATTTACATATTCGCTCATCCATTTAGTTAATTTTTAACCCGAGGTTTAACATACTGAATTTTAAAACATACTACTAACTTTCCAGTAAACATTTCGACTAATCCTTAAATCAATAATACGGTCTTTGATATAAAGAAATGTACGTAGACTATAAAACATTTTACAGGCAGTCTCAAATTGAAATACCCAAATAATGAATAGATTTTTATATAAATTACTTAAGTAATAAAGTTGAGTCACATTATTTAAAAACAAACTTAAATGTCTACACCTCACTCTTCTACGCTCAATTCGATTTTCAATTCTTCATTCCAAAGAGAGACCTATAGTTGAATTTTATCCACATTGTAAGCAAAATGTCATTTCTTTTATTTTTTATTTTTTGAACCAGTAAGTAAGAAATGGAAACAAGAATTACAAATCACTGTTGTCAAGTTATCTTGCATTTCTGCATTTGCCGGTAGTTGAATGCTGTTCCCCTGAACTGTTAACATGAAGTCGAAACTTTTTTCCGCGGGAAAAGGAAGAAATTAAATATGCCATAGATCAAAATTACCTAGTAAATTTATACTAATTTATACCTAATTATCACAAAGATATTCTTGGCTGATACTGATAGAATGGTGTATCTCAAGAAATACTTGATTACTGAAAAAGTTTGTCTTCTATCAAATATAAACTCAAAAAACTCATCTACGTTTCACTTAAAAGATACTAATTTATGGTTACATTCCTGACTAGGATGATAAAACATAGTATATAGAAAAGTGCAAGAAAGAGAAAAGGAACTTCTTCATACAGCAGCTCTTCATACTTAACAGAAGTTGAAACAAAAAATTATTTTAACAAATTTCAAAGCTTGCATTCTATCCGCTCAAAAAAGCTCCAGACAAATCAATGACCTCAGCAGACCTAATCATTGCCATAATATGACATTGAACATTTGGAGCAAATTCCAAGAAAGTATAAATGCACAATTCGCTAAACATTCTCAGAAATTAGTTCTTTTCCAGATGAATAATGCCACTTGCAAGATAATGTCGAACTAATATTATTATTTCAGTTAGTTCAGCAGCTCATGAATATGACGAAAGTGGTACATCAACTGCATTTCTCCTTTTCAAGTCTTCCAAAGTTTCCACAATTTTTTCGTTAGCCTCCGCAATCAACTCCTGCAGATTTTCTGAAGATGGATGATCCTCCGGAATGCACAGCAACTAAAATGCAAAGAAAGGATTACATATAAATATTAAATATAAGATAGCGCAAATTGCTCCAAGCGAATATGCTTTTTAAATACTAACTCATCTTCACATATTTAAGAATTAACAAAGGGGAATAGATTCATCGATTACAGTGATACGGAACAAGCGATGGATAGTGTCAAAAGATGAGATGTGTTGCAGCAAGAAACGTTAGGGGAAACAATCGCCACTAATGGACATCAAGAGAATGATGAAGACACAAAAAGTAAATTTACTTCGGGTCCACCGCCATATATTGATTGAAAAAACAACCAAGCTTCACGAGGTAACTGCACATATTGTGAAGCCCGTAAATGTCCTCTTGTATCACACGTATTAGTACAAACCAATATGGCGTTGTTGTCAATAGATCCCGGTGGTTCTGGAACGCAGCAAGATATTCAGATACAAAAAAGAAAATTCCAGAAATGCAATAACTATTAACAATCTTAAACCTTCGACAGGTTATTAATATACAGTGCATAACATTAATTCCCAAACTTAAAATCCAATTAAACTTGCAGCAACTCCAAGTAAATATGGCCATTGGAAATTTGGTTGTTATACGATCACTTTTATATCTGTCAAAAATAGAACTTCAAATGTGATATTTGGAATTTTAAAATTACCAAATTCATTCCCTTCAACAAATGCCTTCCATTTGTCAATCCAAGCTTTCGCGATAACATTCGGTGGCATGTAATAACTATAAGTAAGCGCTGGAATATCATTTTTCAGTCGTTTCAATTGTCCTTCCAATGTTAAGAATGCTTTAAGTTCAATTTCACGTTTATGTTTCATTATTTGGAACTCATTTTGGCAGGGTAAACAGTAGTGCAACTCGGAACTTGCAGGTCCACCACCAAATCTAAATTTTGAATACTAGTCATTAATTAATGCACAAAGGCAAATAATAAGCAGAATAAACCTTAAGATTAATAGCGATTGAACAGTACGATCAAAGCGTGAGAAAACTACTCTTCATTAGGAGCAGTACTTCTAATCAAAGGGCGAACTATGCCGCAGAACAAAGTTCCACATGCTTTGTGATGTACATAATTACAATGAAAAGCAAAATACTGTTTAACATCCTAATTCATCATAATGTTCATAACTTACTTTTCATATAGAAAATCCCACAATGAACTGCTGATCGTTGCATAATAATCAGTAAGACATGCTGCTCTACGTGGGAGAATTTGTGAGTGTTGACAAAGAAAATCAAAATTTGTAATAGGCCCAGGATTTGAAAACGTTGAGAAACGATGCAACCATTCTCGCGAAATATAATTGTAAAACGGAATCTTCACATGAAAAGAAATAATATTTCAATTGTGAAGTTTGACTCAAGAATAAACTTAAGCTAATCGTGATTCAAAGTTGGACTGCTTTTAAATTCGATTGGTTTTAATCATGCGAATCAAGTTGTCTATTTTTACTTCGCATTAACAAATTGCACAATGTGCAACAATAATCTTCTACATGTTTCACTGATATTTTGAAAAAAAGAATAACTATGCAGTCCAACCTTTGTTTTATCGCTCTCCTCAAGTATTTGTCTCACACGGATCCGAATGTCATCCATACTCTTTGATGATTGTTTCTGATAAAATAGTACATAGGCTTCTTTACTTAAGATATCAGCTACTTCCAATCGAGTTACGACAGTGTCATCAAATTCGTACCAATTATCATCCATCTCGTTCTTGCAATATGCAACGTAATGTCCACCTTAAATGAAATAAATTCTATTCAGTAATTAAATATAAGTCATATAAAGAGTATAAAGTACCTTCATCATTAAATCCTACAGCTAGAACAATTCTGTTTCTATTGTTACTATTAGGTTGAGCGACTTCAAGAAATAGGTTAGATCAATATCAGCAAATACCAACGAAAAAGTGCTTTTCAAAGTAATTATTTCACTAATGACTCACTCTCAGCATTTGCACCATAATGTGTGATGAATGCAACTAAATCGTAAAGCACTGGTTCTTTGTTTTCTTCGAAATTGGCAATAAATGGTGTCAAATCCAAATCATGCACTGGAAATGTCACCATGTTTCGTATCTATAAGATTTTTTTAGTCAACTTATAAAATATGTTATACCAGACTTTTTTAATTCAGAAGGATTTAAGGAATTAAAAAAAAAAAACAAAAGAAAACAAACTTTGACTGAATACGATATTTCGTGCCTAAACCGTTTCAAATGTATGCACAAGATTTCAGGTGGACTAATGATTTTACAAATTTTGACACCGTTTCGCAATCTGAAAAAATAAAAACTGAATTTTTAACGATGTAATTTAAACGAATTAGTGGACACAGTTATAGCTTAAAACTATTGTTTAATTATAAAATAGTCTTTTTGCCGAACACGATTGTATCAAACGAATCCTATGACCGATGCTCAACACTACTTTAAAAAATTATTTTGCCAAAAAATTTCTATACTTGGCACATTTTTCGCAAGAATACATATTTTCCCCGCAGAGATCATCCGGCAAAAAAAATGCTGCAAGTGCATCATTCAGAGAAACCAAGTCCCCAAACAAATAATGATATACTGAGCGAAGCAAGCTCCCTCCAAGCCACCATGGCCACTGCCAAAAATTGCTTCCATTGCCATCCCCTTCTTCCTATAAGTCATGCAAGAAATAAAAAATAAAAATAAAATAAAAATTAGTAAGATAACATTAAAACCAATATATCTCAAAATACAATATATTTCCAAAAAAAAAAAAAAACTTACTTTCTCATTCCTGTTTACTTTCCTGCTTTCATTATTTAAATCTACTGAGTATGACGCAATGTGCTCAAGTTGTTCTCTTGTTGGAATGCTCAGTGATAAATCCTTCAACGATTATTTTATAGTGAATAAATATGAAAATAATCAATAAAAAAGTAAAAACTAAAGTTTGAGTTTTAAAAGCCGTAAAAATCTTTGATCTTAGTCTATGCAGCCTTAGAAAAAATTAAACTAACCTGAAAAGTTTCACAAGTTTCTGAAAGATGATGACACGTAAGACATTTCACAACACTACTTAAACGCCCATCAAAGACTTCTGTTACCAAACTTCGGTAATAAATCGGTGACCTAAATTGCCTGTTTCCTGAAAGCTGTATAAATTTGCAGAAATACTCATGTAACAAAGACAATAAAAAAATCAATTCAGGATCTTTAACACTGCAAGATAAATTTATTAATATCAAATTAAATTCAACGTAATCAATAAAGTTTGCATGTAGTCAATATTATAATGTAAAAATCAATAAAACTTAATTACGTTGATCCGTCCCTGCTGATTCCTGCTGGTCAACAGGATGATATGGAATCTTTGTTATTTGATCGATGTTTATTGATTCTGGATGCTTATTTGTTTTTGAAACTGCAAGCACTTCCTGGAATAATTCAATATTTCGAAAATTTTTATCGAAATTATTTTGATGAGAGAGAAAATACAAACGCTACACAAATATTTTCACCGTCAAATTCACTCACTCCATCAGAGCTCCAGCCACTGTCAGCCGTTTCATACCGTTCATCATCATCAGATTCATAACTACTGGAACGTGAAGGAACATATCTGGTCCGTATAAAACTAGAGATGCTTTCTTTCCTTGTCTGTATATTGCAGCTATTCCGATATTCCCACTATAAAAGACAAATTATCATGAATAATGGAAAACATGAAAAAGTGAGTACATATGAAAGGAGTGATAACGAAAAACAAACTTTAACTTACAGCAAAAACAGGTTGACGTAATTCACGATGCAATACATCTAGAAGGCACCTGATAAATTCTTGAGCATCCTGCTGTGTCAGACCACGAAATTGTGGATAATGATGACGAACTTGCTAAAAAAAACTGTGAAATTATTTTTTTCAAAAGTTACATGTTTTACATAAATAATAAAAATAATTCACTCGAAAGTAGAACATACAGTAAGAAAGAGTTGTGGATTAATGCAACGACTTCGTTCCTCAGACCAAAGTGCCTGCAGTAGACAACGAAATGAACGCGAAACAGGCGGTTCTCTATTATTATCTAACACCTTTGAAGCAAAAGAAGCAATGGAATCAACTGAACGGAAGAAGTCGGAAAAAGGAGGACAATTTGAAAGTGCTTGAATGGCTGCATTCATATAACACGTGTTGCCCAAATTTGTAAGTCCTGTCAAACCTGCAAGTTTTCTAATTAACATATAGACTTTAATGTTGCTGCAATGCTACTGATTTCTACCCTACTGATGTTTGTTTATAATCTAATTTATTAATTTTTCAGTGTTTTATAATAAACTTCTCCCTCTCAAAAAAAAACTCGTCATTTTTTTCAACTTCTAATTAAAAAGTTTTGATAAAATTTCCATTCTTCAAAAATACGATAATCTCATTGTTAATAAATTAATGAATTTTGATTTCGTTCAAGATAAAGTAGTTAGAATAGCAGCAGCAAAAAACTTTTCGCTATAGACGATGATCATCACATTTTGTACGTTAAATAAAAATACACAATGAGACAGCAAACCTCGGGGATAAGTTTGACTTTCATCCATTCCAATATCCATTAATGTTGGTTGCCAAATATCGCTGTGAGAATTGAAGCTACGTCCAGTTATTGTATTTATTGGCCGGAACTGTTAAAATCAAAAACTTTTTGATTTGAAAAATTAACGGTCATCCCAACAGAGGTATAAAGAAAATTATGATACTTCATATGCTAATACTATGCCTCATGTTATCAAAGTAAAGCTGTAACAAATACAAAACAATATTTTATTTTTTTAACCTTCACAGACTTCATTAATACCTAATTCATTAAGCTCAAAATTTTCAAGTTGCGGAGTTTTTCGATTGAAACATAAACAATACTCTAATATAAGTTTTCCTTTTGCTGGAACTTTGATTAGCAATAAAAGGCACTGCAGAAAAAATAGGTTCATTGTCAATATCGACGAGCATATTTGCAACTTCTTCATTTCCAATTCTTGAGCCCTGCAACCTTATTAAATATGAATAAAAAGATATATTGAATTATGAGAAAGCGGAGGATGGATATTGTCTTTCAAAATGATTTATACCACATTTATAGATTTGTAGAATAGTTATTTAGACCAAAAAATCCTTAAGCACAAATTGAAATTTATAACTTATCAATTCACTGAAAAACCGTGCAAAACAGCAATTATTAAATGTATCGCAAATAAACAATAATATTGAAGCAAGAAATTTTAGCCTCTTCAATCAGCACCTAATTAGTTCGAGAGAAAAAATGTTCTTAAAATGATGAGCTGTGATAATAGCTAAGTAGATAAGCTCTCTTGGATAATAAAATTGAATAATTATTGCAATAATTTTGTAAAATATTGTGATGTTTTTCATTTAAACGGCTAGAGATTATCAACCCTAAAATGACATTATTGTCAAGTCGACAAACCTTTTCAACTCAAATGTCTGTCAGATTCACCTATTTAAACTGATGAAGATGTTTACCACATTGTGCTGTGATTTCGAAGTTACATAATTTGAAACATCTGGTCCATCAGTTCTGCAACGCGAAACCGTCATCTTCGAGATACTCGAGATACTTTGTACTTTTTTCCTTGTCCCATATTTTTTCGCATTTTTTTTCATTCTTTTCCTCGTCATTACATTTAATAATCCACAACTTTTCCTGTCACATGCGTGCGACAAAATATTCACAATAACTATTACCTTTAAAAGTTGAAATTTTAAAAAAAATTTCTTCAAGAAAAAATAGGTGTAACAATAATGTACATTATTACAAATTTCAGAGCATCTTTTTACTATATGTTAAACCTCGCTGAAAGTGAGAAAATATATGCATGCATACATCACATGCATATACCTGAAAAATCGACCCTTGAAAAAATTCGTTACCTATAAAATTAGATACGAGACTTGTAAATCTTCAATATGAAATCTTGGAAATACCTAAACACAAGTTAATCTAGTGCATCTAAACTATATAAAATAAAAATAAGCGTAAAATATAAGCTAATTTCCACGTATAGCATTTAATTATGTGATTAGAAAGTAAATAGAAAGATGAAAAATAAATGAACCATATGACAATCATTTAATATACTTTATAACATATAACACAAATTTAGCATGACCAATCATACTCCATCATATCCTTCCCTATATTCACCAGTATTATTTCTCAATTTCAGATCATCAAAGGCCTTTCTTACCTAACCCTCCTAACCACCTCAATCCCACCCCGACCCCCTAATCTGTCAGCAGTACAAATGCTCGGGCCTGAATTACAGCGCTTTGAGCGCAATATTCAGCTGCAACAATCGCATTATCAAACTTCCCAATTCTGGCGCGCATATTTGAAAATCTTGGCCAAATGAATGTTTAGTCGTTGTTGGCAAATTTTGTTGTTTAACTGGCCTGGGACTGAGTTTCCATTCGTGCCATTTTAACCGTCAAATTTTTTATGGCCTAAATTTACTGGAACTTTATTGCCACCATTAAGCGGAAGTAAAGATTTGATCCTAGCCAACAGATTAGTAAAAACTTTTGTGATCTTTCTTCGCTCCTATCATCATATATATATATATATTAATGCTTTTTTTATCATTTCGTTTTTTGCATTTAAGTACTAGGAAATCTGAACCCGATAGGATGGGAATGCAATCCATAGTTTATACATTATGTCGAGGCAATACAAACATCTATAATTGAAACAGAAGCAATAGATATGTTGTATGAGTTAAAAGAAAGTTATTGATATATTTAGATATATGTTTACTTAGCCACTTTTGCTACACAGGAAGGTTTTTTCATTAATTTGTTTCCTACCATTTAAATGTTTCCACTTGCTCTAAAAAAAACTTCAAAGGATGACAATAAGGAAAGATTTTGAAGCATTCCTTTTTTTACTATTTCTCTCAATCTTCATATTTCAACCGTTTCGCCGTTTTCAATCATCCATCATCATATTCTTCCACTTGCTCTTAAAACAATTTACTTATTTCAGAACTGGCACCTAAAACTTCCGAATTTCTTTCTAACGACTTCATTTGAATGGAAGAGAAACATAAGTTGTTTGAAGCACTCGACGATGTGAACAGCATCTTCTCGGAGGTGAATGATGAATGGACCGCTACGTGGTAAGCATTTTTCTATATAGAGTCAAAGTTTATCAAAAATGTTGATTGGTTATTGGAGGTACATGTTTAGTTACTTGACTAGAACTGTTTTATTAACAGTGTCACTTATATCTATGACAGTGCATAATATTCACTTTTTCAGCTTTGAAGATAATTTTTCGGACTTCAGCAGTTTTGCACATGTAATACGATTCTCAGTCCTTCAATCTTTCGATTACTTACTGCGCCTTTCAGAATGTGAGTAATTAAATGAATTCAAGGTTACTTTCTAAAATTGATGGCAAGTATGAGATGATTTCTCCTGTAGTTTGGTTCCTTTTTAGTGTGTTCCCGACTATTATTATATGTTGAGAAAGTAGATTCGTCAGTCGAAATATGGCATGAGATGGTCGGAAGAAATTTTGATCCGAAGAAATTGTGCATTTTTGCGTGGTACTTGATTGAACGGGGACAACAGCCTGATGTGTAAGCATTTACTGCTAATAATTCCGCAGTTATAAATTTTTGCTTGCAGTATAGCATAGGAAGATTTATTGCAAACTGAGTGGATTGCTAATGGTTCATTTATATAAAATTTAATTTTCATATTGTTTTAAGTGATATTTTGAGTCATTTTCGAAATTATCAATGTTCTTTTAAATTCAGTTGTCTCAAAGGTAATTGCAATTAGATTGGATGTTCGGCTGTAATTTATTTTCGAGATGGCGATTATTTTATATTATTTTATATCCTATTTATATTCATGGAACTAGTATTTCTAGAATATTTCTAGAAACTAATATTCATAAATGGCATTTCATCATGAATTATTTGTTTAACTAAATCAATTGGTTTCAGTGCTCTTGATGATCGGAAAATAGGACTAATTGGTTCTCGAATTTATATCTCATTGTGCTGTTTAAATGGAGCACAGGCTTTCAATATTTTTAATGATTATCTCTTCCAAGTGATTTTTTTTGATTTTTTTAATTGAATTGACTTTAAATTTCATATCATATAAATGAAAATTTTTCATTTTTTTCACCTGCAGCGGACTTTGGAAGAATTGCAATTAATTCGCAGACTGTTTAATAACGATCATTTTTCAACAACTAACGATCGTATAGAAATAGGTGGAAAAACCAAAAATAAAAATAAGAAACCATTTATTGGAAATAACTCAAGAACAAGACATACAGGTCTCTTTCATTTTATGTCAAAAAATATAATTTTTCTAAATATGCAATTGCTTTGACGTATTTTTTATAAAGATTAGGAGACCATTAAAACAGAATTGTTGAATGACATGCAATATAAAGCAATATGATCTACTGCAAGGCTCATACTTGTCAGACTTGCTAATATAATACCAAACTTGCTGCATTGTTGTGCTTTATATGTTTTTTGCAGATTTAGAACAGCTGACTTTGGAGGACAGAACAGAATTAAGATATATGCTATGTGACGTTTTGGATTCATTATTTGTATTTTTAAACAGAGGTTAGCGCACACCAGCTTTTGATATGTTAATTTTTGCCCTTGTAAACACTGACGATTTGACTACTCTAACATATGCATTTATTGTCTAGAAATTTTCCAAAATTTCAGGTTTACTTTCATCAATTCAACAGTCTTTAACATCACTGGCAATTTTTTTGCAGCAACTTATGCAACTTGATTTTTCCGAAAAAACGTCCTTTTTAGATTGTAAGCGACTATCAGATTTCCAGGTTTGTTTCCAACAGCTTAATTTTCGCATTGAAAATCGCTTAATTTACTACAATTTAAATAAAAGTTTAATGGTTCAAATGTTTAAAACTCTATAATATTGTTTAAATTATTTTATATAATTGCAAAAACCATTTTCAGAGATTACGAGGTTTTTCTGACCGATCATTTGCTTTGATGCACCGCTTCCTGGATAATCGGCATACTGTTTTCGGTGTAATATATGGAAGAATTGTTATGCCGCGGCTATTATTCTGGACACTTGAAAATACTGTATTTCCCGCGAATGCTCATCCACCGAAACTGATGAGCACCTACAAGGAGGCAATGCTGAATTTCATCAGAATAAGAATAGGGGTGAGGCAGTAAGTAAAGATTATGATGGACTTCAATTTCATAGTTTACAAAGGTTTTGAATGCACATTTTAATTTTATAGTTTTGTTGCTTTAAAATTGTAGAAATACATATACTCATGTCACGCTTTTGTTAAAAAAGAAATCCGGTCATATTATTTTAAATGAAAAGCAACTGAAAATTGCTGTTTTAGAAAGATTCGGAGGAAGAGATGCTCATTATTTTATTGATGCTTCAAAATGTATGTTTTCGTTGTCCAGATCGCAGTGATTATCGTGCAAAAGTAGCGAATTCGGTTGTTGAAGTCCTTGCCCATCTGTTCCCCAAATATATCCGAGTAATCCTTGTTGCCATTTAAAAAGATTTATAAATTATTTTTAAACTCGTTTGTTTTTATAAGCCATTTATTTATTTTGTTGTATTTATAGGACTTCGCTGCTTTTCTTTTACTAGCAGCCGCGAATTCAAAAGTTGCAGTCCGTGGTTTCGCTGTTGAACTTGCGGTACCGTTTATGAAACAACATGGTGAATTTCCCGCCTTAATCTTGCAAATTTTTTGGAATAAGTTAGGCTTTATATATAACTCCATTTCGAAATATTGATTCATTTTTCAAGTTCAGATATTACAAAGTTTTATAACATAAATTAATATGGCATAAATTACATCTCTGAGAATACGATATCTGATTTATGAGTAATTTCAGGTCATATCCTTGAAGTTAGTTGTAAGCAAGAGAATGGAACTTATGATTTCGAACAAATGGATGAAAAGGTGATTTTTAAATCCTCCATTTCTTCAGCTATAAGAAGTCAGCCATACTGCAATTGCTTTTTTTCCGCCTTATATCTTATTTTCAATTTCCAAATTCAAAATGTACGTTCAACTCCAACTTTCTGTCGGATAATAAATTCTAAAGTTTATTCTTAGGATGTATCCAGTGGCGAAAAAGCATCAATGGAAGTAGAAGAAACTGAAGAACATGGTACTGTCAAACTTCATTTCTCCATTTGCAACAAATAAAAACTGTAGTTAAAAAATTTTTTTGTAATGTTCTACATATATTTCAGATGGAGATAACAGACAACAAGTTTATAAGAAAGCAGAGAAGAAGAAGGCGATAAGGTTCGAATTTTTTTATATTATCTTAAATAGATAAAGAAATCAATTCCCGTGCTTCTGTGTTTTTTGCCCTGTAAATTGGGAAAATATTTATCTGTAGGACTTATTTTAAAATTATATTTCATATCAGATATGATTGTAAAACTTTTTAAAAATATTTTCGTTCCATGAGATTTTTCTAGCTAATATTTTGACTTGCCATGTTTTGCTCAACTCATCACTACCGAGTTTATGTAGAATTGACAAGGTTCAAAAATATGTCCTATCATGCTTTGATTTTACTCTGTTGTTACTAGTTCCACATTGCGATGAGGTATCAAAAAAGGGAGAGAAAGAAGTAGCTTACATGAGGAATATCTATTTTAAGATTGTGATATAGTTCCATATGAGCTTAAAAAAAAACCTTAAATAATTGCAACCCGTATTTGGAGATATATCAAATTGCATATGAATGTTGATGATTTCTTTAATAAAACATTAAACCAGAACGATTTGATTGAGCTATTTACAGTAATCTAGTAAGGAAAGTCGGTCTTCATAATGCAATTTTGGTTTTTTTACTGAGAAGTTGTGATGACAAATCCCCAATGGTACGAACTCGAGCTTTGATGCAGGTTGCAATGTTGCTTAGTGATGAAAATATACGCAGCAAACTTTTGAATCTACCAAAAACTTTGGTAATTTTAATGTGAATGTTTGCATTCCCTATTTTTAGATTGATCTGTTTTTTTTGATAGTGTTATATTTATTAATGAGTCTTTTCAACTAAGATATTCGATTATAGCATCGTGCTGTGTTACTTTTAAATCTTGAAAAACTAAATTGTTTTATAGGTGTATACTTGCTACAGTGAAGATGAAGAGAGTCAAAAGCATGGGGATAGACCTGCACTCTTAAAGATTATTACTACTCGGTGTTTGGACGCAAGGGTACTGATCAGCATTTTTTCACTTTGTATTTTTTTCCTTAAAAATTAAAAAATGATAGTATATTCCATTCTATTATAAACTAGAACAGTATTTTCAGGCATCAACTCGTAGAGCAGCGATAGTTGCTCTCGAATCACTTTTTCCAAGTCTTTCCGAGTCACAAAAAACAGAATTTCTACCAGTTTTCCAGGTGATGCCACATTTTAAAAGAGATAGTGCTAATAAAATCAGAAGAGCTCAAATACGAATAATCAATTTCATTGTATTGTATACAGTGTTATGACAAATTATTATGTCTACCATTTCCAGCAGCACTGTCGAGATTCTTCGCTGTTAGTAAGGAAACAAGCTGCAGAATCATTAAGTCACTTACTTTTAATTTTGGGTACGGATAACAGTATGTTTGATAAAGTTTGGCTTATATCAGTTCTGCCTCTAATTAATGATCGCGAACAATCAGTTGTGCAACTAGCATCCAAATTAGTTTTGGTAAGTTTTAGTTTTCATATCTCTCTAAATTTCTTAAGTCCAGCTAAAATTCTGCAGTTCACTTTTCACTTAAATTTTAAATTTCATTAATTTTTTTAAAATTCATTTAAATTTTTTTTAATGTTCGAATAACTTTGTAATTTTGTTTAGGAAACCATTTTTATATATACTATGATTAAATAAACACTGCAGGAAACACTTATTTTGCCAGCTCTAGAAGACACGACACTTATTGTTTGGCGTATTTTGGAAACAGTAGAACAGGAAGTCAATCATAGGTCTCCATTTTTATCTTATTAAATTTTATCATCTGGCGATCTGTCCGTTCAACTTCATGCTAGTCGAGAGAGGGGAGAAGAATAGAAGAAAGCTTGCGTTAAATTTATTTAAAATTTTAAAATTATTGTTCTTAGATTATTTTCTTAATTGGCTCCCATGTATTTTTCGAATCTTTTATGAATTAAATTACAGGCGCTTATTATTGCGCTCTTTACTTCACCAGGCGAAGGAAGGAGGCTTGCCGCAACACACTGTTGAGAGTCTGCTAAAGAAGTGTGACGATTTAAAGAATGTGAATATTATTTGGATGTTATTGAACTTTTTAAGCAGCGTGTTCAAGGTACAACATTTATACTTTGTGTCTCTCTCGAACTTTTTATTTTCCTCCTGACAAAAGACTAGAAAACGCATCTTTCATTTCCTAACAACTTAATCTTGAAACCTGTGTTTAGAAATAACAACTCTTTTCATATATTACCCTTTTAAATTCGTTTCAGATCAATGAATCTGAAGCGATTCGTTTCTGGTATACGTTAAATGAAAGTGATGAAAGTAATTTAGTTAGTTACGTTATCGAAGTTATTGCGCGTTGTGCTGATCGTATAAGTGAAACAAATCGAAACCAGCTGATCGAAAATCTTAGTGCAAAATTAATTGAATTCAGGTAGAGCTTACAAAGTTGTTTAGACATATTAGTGGTTTTGGAAACCTGCATGTTTCATCCGAATTTCAAGAATTAGAAGTTTTAAATTTTAGTGTCAACGAAGGCCACATTGCTCATGTTTACTATGCATTTGCCCGTCTGTGTAGAGGTGTTGGCGATAATTGCATAGGCGCTAAGCAACTACTTGAATTTAACCACAATTTGGTGGATAAATCACTTAAAATTTTACACAACATCATTTTTCATCCGATCGATGGCTCCGATCAAGTTTCACTTTCCCAGGAAAAGTAAGTAATTGAAATAAATAAAATAATTAGCCGTAAATGTATATTTAAATAGGTCGCAACTTCATTTTTTACTTAACTTTAATTGATTTTCACCAATAAAATTCATTTCCAGTGGTAAAACAGCAAAACTTCTTGTACGAATTATAAACTCCCTGGGTGAAGCAATTCAATACAGTCCACTTTTACTAAGCAAAAATCCGAAAGTGTTTGATATAATGCAGTTAATAATGGCTTCTGATGTGATACAGCAACAATTGATTCAAACAGGTTCATGGAAATTCTAAATTTCATTTCGAATATTTTTTTGAGCCCCTAGTACAGGGAACGTAATGATATTGGATTGAAAGTTTGAGTCTATTTAATGATTTATATAAAGAATGCAGGAAGATGTTATTAACCACTTTTTGTTTTAGCAAATAATAAGTTCATGTAAAAAGTGTTTTAAAAAAAATTGATATAAGTTTCATATAAACGTCAAGATATTTATGTTTTTGACCTTTGCAATTATAGGTACTTTATGCAATACGCTGCCAACAGTACCTTCAATTCGTCCATCAACAGCCGTCCATTGTGTTGATGTGGAAGTAAACTTTCTCTCCTTGTTTTATTTTGTAAACCAATAACTTCACAAACGGATCAGAACGATTTCACAGTTAGCGCAGTGGGCGTCTTAGTAAGATGAAGAATGTTCGGAAACGGGGTTGGGAAGGAATGAATGGAAAAATAAGAAATGAATTGGGAAGGACAGAGATGGTCAAGTTAAGCGAATAATCACGTTATAACTTCGTTATTGCATGCAATTTTTAGGTTAAAATTTTAAATTAGTTTAAGGGTTTTATCAAGCGAGAACTACAGCAGGATAATGTTCAACAAGATACGCACTGTAATGTTCCTGATCATGGTGTTTATGCAACTGGTTTTCTTCGAAGCTCTAAATCTTCTACTCAGCCTAATAGTAATAATATGGAAAGTAGTCAGAAAACACCTACGTCGACAAATCAAGAATGTAGAACATCACAACCAACTAGCCATGGATTAGGTCCGACATTTCTGGGTCAACATACTGTCAACATGGAAGTGTTGAGTCCAGCCGTAAGAGCGCAAGCAGTTTTAACCATTGGTAAAATGTGTCTCCAGGTAGATAAATTACTGTCAGCGAAAAAGATTTTTTTTTTTCGTAATTCGCACAGATCCATCCTTTTGCTATGATATTGAGTTTTAGGATGAAAAATTGGCAAAAAAATGCGTTCCCGTGCTATCACGACAGCTTCTAGTGAATAGCAATCACTTGGTTCGATGCAATATTGTTGGTGTAATTTGCGATCTTTGCAAGAGGTTTTTTTTTAATTTCATATCAGAAAGTTATACATTTTAATTTGGAATTTATTAAATATAAAATCTTTAACTTGTTGCTCGGAAACTCATAGCTGTTTCTGAATTTTAATGATTTATTTTATTATTCAGATACACATTGCTAGTTGACCGTCATAGTGCTATCATAGCTTCTTGTCTGAAAGATCCATCTACATTGGTGCGGAAACAAACTCTTATGTTGTTGACACACCTCATCAAAGAACAGTTTGTACGTTGGGAAGGACAGGTGATATTTATTCATTGATTCAGTATAGTAGGAAGCTAAAAATAATTTCTAATATTATTATTATTATTATTGGTTTCAGATTATGTACAGATTTGTGTCAACAATTTTGGATGAGAGTGAAGAGGTTCGCAAATGCGCAGAACTGTGTTTGGTAAGTACTTCAAATAAAAACTTACCAGGTTGTGTTTCAGATTTTTGCAATTTAAATTGTGACACTTTTATTTTAGGTTGATGTCTTGCTTGTACAATTTCCGAACATGTTTGTAAATCATTTCTTGGAATGTCTTTTTTATTTCAATTCGGTTACACACAATTTATGGTTGGCGATAAGTAATGGTAAGTTTTACGTGAAAGATTCAAATCATTGTTTCTTGATAGATTTACGAATAATTTACTCGTTTATGATAAAAAAAGAAGTTACGATCTTCAGCCATGGAAGAAGATACGGCAGAAAAGCAAGACTTGAAGTGTTCTTTATCGGGGTTTCGACTAAAGAATGCGCGAATGAGACTTTACCAATTCATGGTTAATACGCATGTTTTCATTCGAAATTCTTGGTTTCTTGAATTGCATAGTAAACTACGATCGATTTAAATAAATTTCAAATGTTTCATGAATATTTTATTATTCTTCTTATTGTTAACGGGTTCTATAAATTCTCTAAGTATGCAAAAGCATCGTCAAGTCAGTAGTTGTTTCGTCGATATTTCTGTTTAGATAAAAACATTTAACGATGAGAACAAATTTACGATTGGAATGCGTATTGGTCAGGAAGTGTACTCAGCTATAGTAGACGGTGTGCTCGACATTTGCGATGGTCGTGTTAAAGCCTTGCTTGAAGATTGCTACGAAGTATGATTTGTTGTTCATAGATCATTGAGAACATTTTTTTCTTTAAATTATCAAAATATAGGTCTTTATATGTTTATGAAAAATGTCTCCCCTTATAGAGCGTATAATTATTGTGTTTCATGTTGTTCTAATGACAGATAATGTGTTGCCCGGAAATAAAATTGTCTATGGCTCTGGGTAAAAGATCGCCAAGCGAAGCGGATGATGATGATGATGAACCGCCATCCAATGTTCAGGTAATGCCTTCATAAGTTCTCTTATCGCTGTACTTTTTGCCCAGTTACTAAGATGGCAAGAAAAAGAAGCTACATTGTGAATGGAAATTTAAGATAAATTAAAACATTAAAATAGGATTTTAGGAGGCAGCAAGAAAGGTCGTAACACAAGCTTTTCGAAAAGGTATCATTGATGCCATTTTACCTCACGTTATACGGCTGAAATATTACCTACAAGAGAAACGCTTACCTGAATTAGAATTTGGAATCATCAGAGTTCTCAGGTGGTCATCAAACTTAGTTGATTTACACTTATTTTGAAAGTTCTCAGTCAGATATGATATTAAATCTGATTATATAACTTGCTATTTTACCGAAATTCATTTTTTAGGGAGTTATGTAAAGATCATTGCGAGCAGTTAGATGAATTTTTGGCAAGTGATAAGCAATTAAGAGCTGAAGTAAAGTTCGATCTCGAGAAACTTGAGGTATATATATTACAATGTTTTGGGTTTTCTTTATTCGCAGAAATCAACGATTGAATGATTTAATAGTATAAAACTGCAAGAAATCTAATATATTATATGGATCTGAAAAGTATAGTCGTAATGCAGAATTGGCAGCGCCTGAGTTAGGTCAGCACATAGTATGTCACAGTTATCTCATATGAACCAAACAGATCATTAGGTACATTTCCACTTTATTTAACTGGTACAACTGAACTTTAAGACTTTAAATCCTTTCTTTAGTTTCTATTATTGAAGTATAGTTTCATAAAGAGTTAAGTTTTGCAGTGTCTCATTTTATCAGTACCATAAATTCACAGTTAGATTATTAAGGTATCATATTTAAGGAAAAAGAAAGGAAGATGAAAGTTCCGAGCAACAGTGATGCAATGATGAAATCGCCTTTTTTGCTAAATAAACGAAAAGTTTCATTTATTGCTGACGGCATGGCATCTTCATCACGTCCAAATTCTGGAATTCTAAAGGAAAAGTGCGAAGTGAGAATGGCTGCACAGATTGAAGTGCAGGAAAATGAACAAAATGACAGAGGTCGTTTTAATTTTTTTTTTGATTTCCATTATTTCATACATATTATTTTTGTTCATACAAAGCATTAAACTTCTACTGATGCACATTATTCTGATTGAGTTGTATTAATTCAAAAAACTGAGAAACGTGCTCATTTCATCGATACAATATTTAGGCGATGTCCCAGTGGCTGATGTCAATGGCGGAAATGATCGAGAACTGGTGGAAAGAGAAACGAAAATTAGTAATGATAAAGGCGAAAACGCCGAGAATGTTGTATGTTTTCATCTCGTTTATTAAGTGAATATAAGTGAGAAATAAATGACGTAAATATTAAAAAACTTAAGATATGAATTATTTGTTTACATGTTGTCTTTCTGATATTTTCGGATTATTGATGAGTACATACGCAGCATAATTAAGTACTTCACATTTTTAAACCTATAATTTTTTTCCTCATTTTTATTTTTTTATAGCAACCTTCGACAAGTGTAAAAGAAAATTTTACCCCAACTGCGATTACTGCAGTGATTAAAAAACGAAGTCAAAGAATACGGTTTAAACAATCAAATGAAGAAAGCGAGTTGCCAGTGCGAGCGATTTCAACACCAGAACATAACATCAGCGAGGTTTCTTTTTCACTTCCTTTTTTCGATTGATTGGTGAATTTTTTCATGTATTAATCAACTATCAGAAATATTCATTTTCATAACATTGCTATCTTTCAGCTCACATTCGGTCTGGGCGATGAAATGTCAGCAATTGAAAGTACGCCAACAAGAAAAAGTTAGTGTGCTTTTGTCAGCGATTATTTCATCTACATTCTATACCTATATTGAAAACGTGGTTTACTTAGTCCTTTTGCATATTTTGACTTTGATTTAAATAATAATTTTAAGGATCAAAACGACAAGCTCGACAACCCTATGTGCCATCAATTGAAGAAGCTGATAACGAAGATGAATTCTGTAATAACGATCAATAATTATTCAACAGCGGGACTTGAGCATTTGTATAATGCTGCTATGCACTCCTGATGATCTCGAGTTAATGAGTAATTTTCATGATTAATTGTCCAAAACTCATTATTTCTACCGGAAATCATCCTAGCTTAATTTTTGTAGTAATTTTAAATTTCAAGTGTGGAATTTAGATTTATATGGCATTTTTGTCAACGCATGCAATCCGGGCCGTTATATACTAATTATTTTGGAAATATACATTCCTGTATTAAATCAAATTGATTTCGTCGTCAGATACAATATATTTCCTTCATAATTAAGCTGAAAAAATAGCAAAGTGCAATATGCGTAATTAGAAGTATACATCGAAGTTGTGTATCATTTGTCTTACTTTTTGATTGCTTAGAACATTTGTATCTTCTTACTGTTATTAATTATAAAATGTTTTGGATTTCAGTCTTTCAATCAAATGCTAATTTAATTCGTCAGATTCTGCGATAATATTTTGCATAACTCATTTTCAAAGCTTGAATTATACTAAATAATCTCAGTTAAAATATTGCTGATAATATTTTTTTCTGCATACTTTATATGTGTTTTTTTCAAAATAAAATTTATCATATGTATAAAGATAAATATTAAAACTATGATGCACATAATATCATAATAAAAAAATTCACTGATGTAATATCCTTCTATTAGCATTCAAAGTGTTTCTATGATAGCTAGCTTCCTTAGCCTCTAATATTATAAAATTGCACTGATTGAATCGTTTTAAATATCTGAAGACTTTCCCGCGATAACATCATCGGCCATCGCTGCAGATCAAAAGAGAAAAAAATTGGAGGAGGTTCGATGTTTCAAATTGATAGGTAGAAAGAGTGGCTTTCTTTTCAATATGTCAATTACCAGATTGTAGCTTGTCCATTCATCCATTGCAGATAACCCTCGATATCATCATCTTTACCAGTTGAGATACTTCTGGAAGTTTGATCGCTATCATTTAACGGACTGCTCGTATTTTGCTTTGCTCCCATATCCTGAAATTATTAATTTTCAATTTTTTAGAAATTCTTGAATTCTAACGATCTCACTTATGCGCATTTAAATAGGAAATGAGCAGAAAATACCTCACTAAATGTCTTGATACCAGAAATATCAGTGAAACTACCATTATCTGAAAGCAAATATTGAAGACAATTCATTGAAACTGAAGAAAAAATGAATGGCAGCAATGTTAACTTTCCCTCCATTTCTTTTTAGTTTTAAAAAGTTGAATTTTTGATCTAAATTAGAGTATTTTTTTAAGTCAAGATTTGTATATTGATGGTATGATATTCAAGAAAAAGAGATTTAACAAAAATTTAAAATTTTTACTGTTGTGATGAGGAAAAGTAAAAAGATCTTCATCAGTTGCTGTTGATAAAACATCAGCTGATAACATATTTGCACGCGGGATTAACTTCAATTTTGTGCCTTGAAATTCTGCTAAATTGACCGTTTGACCTAGATTTAATCATTTACAAAAAAAAGTATTTGAAAATGTGTTCCTACCGGAAAACGCTTTGCAAACGGTAAATGCAGGGCAGAAAAAGCATTTTTTATATTTTTTATGTGTATAAAATACAATGAAATGTATGTAAAGTTTAATCTACGCCTGTTCTTTGTCTGCCAAATAAATTTTAGAAAATCTTTTTCAAATAAGATAAAATATCACACGATTCCAATAAAAGCTTACCATCAGGAAATTGAATAGCATTGAATCCATTTAAAAATAAAGTGAAATATATGTTGTTTAAATGATCAATATGATCTTCCAGAAGCATCCTTAGCTGCTAGAAGTTGGTTTTAACTGCATTTCCAAATTTTTTCCACACAGATTAAATGTGCTAATAAATTTTTCAAAATTATCCAATTATCATTTTCAGAATTGAATAGCATATTTTTCAATTCGCTGTTGACGATTGAATTATTATTTGAATTGTTATTATTATGATATATTTTATTAAGTTGTTATTATTTTATTGAGTTATTACTTATTATTATGATGTATTTTATTAAGTTGTTACGTTATTTTATACGAAGAATACAATTCACTTCTACAAAATTTAAGGAAATTATTAAAGATAATTTTCCAATTTAAAACTATCACTAAACCATCACCATTCGATTTTATTAATGTTTATCAGAATTAGAGCAAATACAGATGAAACGAACTTACCTTAAATCGGATTTGATACCTTTGATTTTCGCGCATTAATGCCGAATTACTCATTGTTAATTGACACATCAATTTTTCGTAATATTGCTGAACGTGGTCTAACGCGCAGAAATCACTTTTCTGAATTATTTCTTCATATTACTACTGACGATTGCATTATTGGATTGTTATTGGTATTACATA